ATATATATATATATATATATATTATGGTGCTAGAAAAAAATGAGCTTGATAAAAAATCAACGAAGAATTTTAAGATGCTTAATTTGTGTTTATTTAGCTAAGAAAAAAGAAAAAACAGAGCGGGAAAAATAAGATCCAACATCTATACGGATAAAAAGAAATCAAGATGAGTATTCAAGTGAAAAATCCTAAGCAATGAAAATCATGAAATCTATCTCAATTGAAATGATTTTTCTATGCTAATATAGGTTATAACTTTTTATGAGATTTGAATAACTACACAAATGGGATGTGACTTTTACTATGAATGTGGCATAAAATGATGAGGAAGTGATGATGACTCGATTGCTATGAAAAAAAGTTGGTGGTTGGGGTGTGCCAAAAAATACGTTGCAATTGTCTTCGGTAACGAAGGCCATACAATGATGGCCATGAAGCAATGATGCTGGTTCTGCAGTCGAAGCAGCTTCATGGTGAGGGCTCAGGCAGGGGCACTGCAGAAGTGGCAGTGACCGATCAGTAGTGTCTTGGAAAAGACGGTGGGGGACCGCAAGTGACGATGGTGGTGGCCTGTTAAATATGGTCGAGAAGCGGCGACGGTGGTATGGATGTGGCAGTAGCTCAATGGCGATGGCCATGCAATGGGGGTCCGGCTCTGGTGGTCAAGAAGCGATGGTCCAACGGTGGCAGCACAAAGAAAGTAGTCGAGTAGCAGTGATCCTGTGGTGACGGTGGTCAGTCGGTGGTGGCCCGGAAGCTAGGATGGTGGTCCATGCCGGGGGGCCTACCAGCCGTGAACTATTAATGGCTATGCACGGGAAGGGGTGAGGCGATCCAGCGGTGGTGGTGGCTTGATGATGGTGGTTAGGCACAGGTGGCCTGATGGTGGTGTCAGGTCGACAGTGGTGCCCAAGAAGTTGTGATTAAGTGATGGCGGCTTGAAGGAGGCAGCCGAGCAGCGGCGTTCTGGCTGTGGCGACAAACAGTAAATGGTTTCTTGAAAGCAGCAACGGTGGTCCATTAGTGAAGATGGCAAGCTAATTGTGGTATGGCAGTGGAGATGGCCGGAAAGCGGTGACAATTGTTGGATGGTGGCGGCAACTCAAAAGCGGCAGTCGGATAACGGTGGTTCAGCAATGACAACAGTGTTCTGGCAATGTGGGAGCTCGGGAACCCTCAAGAGCTTGGAGCTCCATCAACTTTCTTCTCTATGTCAAGGTCCCAAGTCCCCTTTTCATGAAGAGAGTGGGGGATCTATTAATAGATTTTGTGAGTTGCATCATCTACAAATACTACATGAATTCGGCCCACTTCATTGGATGACCCGGAGCAATCCCTTTCATTAGATGATATTTTATGAGTATTTGAGTGATTTAATGATGTCATAATAAAGTGATTATGGGCTTATTGGATTCGTCTCGACGAGACACTTGATTTGATTATAAGCGTGTCACATTTGAAATTCATTTGACAATTCAATTGCCCATCCAAATCCTTTGATTGTGCTTAACCAATTTGATATGGGCTTATAGGATCAAATAAAATCAAATTTTGTTTCATTTGGTTCGCCTTGTCAAGGCGGCAGTTTAATTGTAAGCATGTTGGAATCGTGGCACCGGATGATTTTGAATTTCAATTTGAATGTTTATTATTCAAAATGCTCTGAAATATGTGCATCATTAAAATAATTTCTTTGATGAGGCATCAATTAAAAAATAAATACCCTTTCAATTTATAATTATTATCCTTATTTATAGATGAGAGACTTGAGATCACATGATAAAAATAATTAAATCTTTTATGTTATTATAAGCTCTTGTGATACCTCTATTTGATTAACGCTGCCTGTTTTTATATTTTTTTTTGGGTGTTTAGACTTCAGTAACGGTTTTGTCAGTCCATTCGAACCGGAGGTGAGTTTGCTTAAGAATTGTGTGCTGTATGTGTATTTATGAAAGTTTAGGCCGTTTGAGATACGTAAATATATTAAAAATGCAGGTAAATGCCCCAAAGATCACTGCTTGCAAGCCATTGCTTATTCTTCTTTTTCATTCAGCCAAGTGTAGAGGCGAATATCATAGAAATGCTTGCTGAATTAACTAGAGATTAGTAGTTATCTTAGTTGATGTATTACAAAAAGTTGAACACTAAATGGCCAAAGATGATGGTCGGAAACCAGAGGCATTCTTAATAGAAAATTGTGAACCTTCTTTTTACATAAAAATGCATCTGATAGTGATGGTATATATATATATATTATGCTAAATTTATGACCTGAGATTTGTGAGTCCCGCTTTGTTTCATAAGAAAATTATGATCACATGAATTGTGGCTTCAGAAAGAAACTATGAGCACACATATTTAAGATTTTGACCGTTAGTTAAGTTTATGATAATCTTTAGATTGCAATGCGAGTGCTATTGTTTTATTATCTCTATTTTAATTATTTCCTTTAAAGAGGTATTTTTAAAACTATAAATACCTCTCTTTGGTTTTGTGAAAGACACACTCCACCTGTAATCTCTTATTTGTTATAGTGAATTCTCATCCTCTGCGCTTGGTTTTTCTCATCTTGATTTTTCCACATAAAATTTGTTTGTTTTTTTCTTTTTTGTTTGTTTCATTATCGTTGCAATGATTTAATATCAAATTATGACAAGTAGTATCATAGCTAGACTTGATTTTGATGATGGAAATCGTAAATTATGACATCCCTCTTTTAGATCGCAACACCAGATGTTCTCTTCGACAGGTTAAGATGTGAGCAGTCTTAGATTAGATGGATCTATATGATGCGCTACTTGAGTTCGAAAAGATACCCTCATCACAGACGTTGGAAGAGAAGCAATTTAAAAATTGAAAGGCTCTTTCTCAAATTCATCTTCATCTAGCAAATCAAATTCTACATGACGTTTGAGGAGAAGATCGTCACTGCGTTATGGCTCACATTAGAGCAATTGTGTCTGATGAAAAGTCTGACCAGTAAGTTGTTTTTAAAACAATGTTTACGCTCTCATAGAATAGCAGAAGATGCATCTGTTATGGATAACTTAACTGTATGACGAAGAAGAATTGGCGTTAATCGTATTATGTTCACTGCCTTCATCATATACAACGTTTAGAGATACCATCATGTATGTATGAGAGACACTTACTCCATATGAAGTATATGATGCTTTACTTTCTAAACAAAAGATGAAGCAACTTCTGGATAAACCTGTTGCTCAAGGGGAAGGCTTTATCGTTCGAGGTTGAACTTAAAAGAGCCTATATTGTATGTGTGAAATAAGATACGAGCACGAGGTTCGAGAAAAAAAGATAAATGCAAAGGTCAGAGACACTTTAATGTTTTTAGAGTATTGAGGTGATCTCTGTAGTGGAAATAAGATACAAACACGAGTACCGAGACTCTTTGATGTGGTAATCAAGTGGCGAGGGACTAGAAGCAGCAGTTAATGTTCTGCATCTTAATTTTGCATTTGATATTAATGTATAGAACTAGAACCGGACATGTATATGCAGCGTTTGACCGCTATTTTTCTTTTCTTTGATATATTGCGGAACCAGAGGCACCAGATTTTTCTTATTATTTTGATTTTGTTTGTTTCATGTTTTCTATTGTATGTTAACATGCTTGAAATGGATTTCATTATTTCTTTTTGTGGCTTTCCAGAGAATCACAAATACAATATATGTTTGGGGGATTTAAAATTCAAAATTTGTTACAACATCCTAATAAAAATATTTAAGATAATGAAAATTTTATGATTAAAATATTTAGGACTTTAAAATTCGCATTTTTTACTTTTCTGCATGGCATTCAGGCCAGATTTTAAATGGGTTGCATGGATGACTATCACTCCAGTCATAATTAATGTGGTCTCCACGCTTAGGATTGTGGTAGATAACTGCAACATATTTGCATATTCTGAGGAGAAGCCTCCGAGCTTATTTAACCCGACTCGCTTAACATAAATTTTTTACTTAGGTGGTTGTCTAGTGTGTTTAGGGTGTTAGCAGACTCCCGATCCATATATGGGTAAGTCCTTCCGTGGAGAGTGTTTTTAGCTTTATGGCTGGACCTCTTCTTTCTTTTTTTTTCTAGCAGCATCCGCATCACTTCGGCGGGTATAAGTCTCACCTCTTGAAGCCCCACTTATAGTCATATGATAGAGTTTTGTTTCTTTAATGTTGCCCTACTGAGCTCCCCGTGGATGACGTAATTCACGGATTGCTGATCGATGATCTTTGAACGTGCTGGGTCGGTTACCTTCATGAATCGGTGGACTTAGGGTCCTAGTAGATTGGGGTTACCGGTCTGTGGTGCCTGACTCGGCTTCCTCTACCTTTTAGAATTATTTTACTCTTCCTCTTTGTTAAGCCCCTTTGAACTTTGTTACTCTATTAACTTTGTTGCTATCATCTTGACGGTTTGATTACTGATGAGTTGTCGCCTGTGTTGGGATGTGTTGATTCGTCCTCTTCTCTTATGGATCAGTGACCTCTGTCGTATAGGGATATCACTGTCGAGATGATTTTGGTTAAGCCTTAGGTTCTGATGCCGATGAGCCGCTACCCATTTGGGGCGTGAGAGACTCACTCTCTGTCATGTAGCTTAGAGAGCTTTGAAACATCGAGACATTCTCATATGAAATAATTATCATTTGATGACATATTCTCTAGGTTAATATAAACAAAACTTCTTCTATTGAGAGTATTCATGGGTATCATCCATAATGTAATTAGGTAGAAGGATACATTCCTCTGGGAGACTGCTGATCCTATAACAAAAAATGTTCTTTTTGGTTCCTTAGTTATAGATGACTTAAGTAGCGATTTTATTCTTGATTTTGTGTTTCGAGATACTTCGATCCGATCATGTTCGGACATATACTCTTAACCCATCACACGAAAATTACCCATATATAAGTTTTTTGCTTATTTATTTTTATTTGTTTGACTATTTGTTGTTGCATATCCTTTTTTTTATTCCTCTCATATTCGAATCATTGATATGATCCAGAGAGAGATTTATTCAAATAAGGGAATTATACGACGACATATAAATAGTCAAACTGACGACTTTGAGTGCTCTAAAAACAAGTGAGAAAGTAATAACCCTTGCAAATTTAATAATTAGAGGGCATAAATGTAACCTCAAATCTATACCCCTTATTCATATTAATAGAGGATTATTTTTCGAATGATGGTTGCGTTTTCTAGTACTCACTACTTTACTCTTTCTCATTCTTTCTCTCTTTTTCATTGATCAATGATCCTTTATGTATTGGGTAAGTCTCCCGGATAAATTTATATTCAACAATTAATAATTATTATTTTTGCAAAAGTGATCTTAACATTTGCAAAAGATAAACGCCTAGGATGCTAGTCGGATACTGGATTAGGCTTTGCTCATATTGTTTCCTAGGCAAAGGGATCTGTAAAATGGAAAGACGTTGACATTTGATGATTGGGCATCTTTCACTTGTAAGAGTATTGCTATTCAACTGGAAGCCAGCTGAAAAATTGTCCTATTCTTCTACTTCTAATAAAAAAATGGTTCATATTTATTATGAGAGAATTTTAGGCTAGTGGTATGAGTGTAAATCTACTTCTATTCTTATATTCGCAAAGTTTTATTTTTTATTAATGCAAATACAAGATTAATATTGAACAAGTCTTAGTCAAAATATTGAGCTGGTGTCAAAAAATAGTTCGCCAGGAATTGAATTATGCAAAGCAATTAAGTTAAAAACCAAGATTTTAAGAAAGAAAATTGATTTTATGCAGAAATTGCCATTTAACTAAAATATAAGTTTTCCTTAGTCTTAATTGAGGTGCAAATTGAACTGCCAATAAATTTTCAAAAAAATATGAGGTCTCTCCTCTTTTGCTCTCCTTCCTCATATTTTTCATTTAAGAAAAAATAATAAGAAAGTAATAATAATCTCGAAGGAAAAAATTAAAAAAAATGAAAATAATAATGTACACCAAAAAATGATATGCTCAGTTCTCGAGACAAGTAATGATCCATATTACAAAAGACAAATCACAAGGCATAATAAGTCTGATCGACTGAAGACCACTAACGAACCGATGGCAAGCCGACCAAAGGATTGGCGGCCGATTTAAGGATTGCTAATCGACCAAAGGTCAGTTTGACGACCAAAGGACCACTTATGCCAACAAGCGATAGACATTCAAGCCAACGACCGAACAAAGGTTTGAATCCCCAGCAAGCTCACAACTATCAACATGAGGCTCTCTCAATAGTTTCCCCAAGAGATCTCCGGAAATTTCCAAGGAATAATTATTAGGCAGGTTGACCGACCACCTTAAGGTCTACAAGCTAACACACTCAAAGTCGACCAGCTTCTCAGGCAAAAGCTGATTGATGTTAGATAAAATAGCTAACTGACACCCTCTCAATCGACTGGCCCGAGGACCTATAGAGCAGAAGGTTCAGACCATACAAAAAGACACAACAAAAGACAATAATATCTTGTAACGCCCCTATTAAAACAGGAGCAATGATATAATTTTTCACCTTTGGCTCTCTTTCTCCTATTATGGGTTTTTGGCTCTCTCTATACCCGTACTTAATATGTTCATAGAATGTGCTTATTTATAGTCTTGATTTTGCCTTTTTGTATGTTTATTTCATGTTTTGGAAGGTATTTTGTGTTAAATTGCAGGTAACAGGAACAAGGAGCAAATCATGGTTCAAAAATATGAGATGGAGCAAAATAGTGTTATGGAGCCTAGGCGCCAGGACCTGGAGCTAGGCGCTAGGACTTGGCGCCTAAGTGTCGGAACAAGTCTCTTTCGAGTCAAAATACAGATCCATCAAAAACCTGACACTGGACTTGGAGCGCTGGGGTGCTAGAATTTGGAAGAAAAATCCGAGCGCACGGAAATTCAATGCTAGAATTGGAGAACTGAGGCGCCAGAAGCTCAGCGCCCAGGCACCGTGACACTAGCGCCTTGGCATTAAGGAAAGAAAACGGTAGCGCCCCGATGAATCTTGTTGGCGCTGTGGTGCCTGTACCTGAAATTTGACAATTTTGAGTAGTTCAAAACTTAAGTTTAGAGGAGGATGTATCAATAGAAAGAGCATAATTTTTAGGAAGGCTTTTTATTTATTTTCTTATGCAAAAATTTGGAGAGGAGAGCGTTGAAGAAGAAGGCCAAAAATTCTACAAGGAGATTCAGTGCAATTGTGATTGAGAGATTGAGAGAAAATTTCCTATTTGTTGTTTAAGATTCATCACATTGCTTGTTTGGGAAGGAGATAAATACAATTAAGTTATATTTTTCTTCGAATTTCTTTGTAAAAGACTTGGTGTATAATTGATTTTCTTAATGCAACGATTGTGTTGATGTGTTTTATTATGAGTAAGTAGTTTCTTTTGTTTCTTCCTTGAATTGGGAATGTGGTAGGATAAAATTTAGGATTATTTTATTTTTTATGCTTGGAAAGGTGTCGTGTTAACTTTTAAGCTTAATTTACATTCTGCTTGACGAGAGAAATAGTCAAAACCTTCACGTGAACTATGAGATCCATGATAATATGTTGTAGAACAAAAATTATTAACCACATAAAATCACTGGAATAAGGATATTACCTTTGTGTTTATGCAATCAATAAGGAGTTTCTTTTTTTTGAGCGAATCATGGGATTTATTTCATGATAGCTAACCTTTCTTAAACAACCAGAAGGAAATAAGAAATATTTTGCTCTAGATTGACACCGTGCTTTAATAATTTCCTCAATTTCACTAAACCAATTCAAGGGGTAAGTCTATCAAACCTTTAATCCCTTAAATAATCTTCTTGCTTGTTAGGACAAACTTGTTTTTTATAACTTTAGAATAAGTTTTAAAATTGAATTGGCGAATCAAACCTTTTCAGGCTATGATTGGCAACTATACACTAAAACATTTCCTTAGAATTCATCTCGTTCCCAATAGGATTGACAACTAAACTCCAACTCAGTAATATTGATACGACACATATTCTTGAATGAGTTGCTCATGCTTTGCAACACCTTGTGCATATCAATGCTCCATAGGGAGAACTCTCTCTCATTCTCTCTTGTAATCTCTATTTTTCATATATAAAATGGGTCACAGAGTCCGAGAATATCACAGTTCACCGATACAGGACAAGTCTGTGTGCACACTTTCATTCTTTCTCCCTCTCTGTCTCTCTCTCTCTACCTCTCCCTCAAGAATTCTACCGCTCCGATCCCTGATCATGTCTCACAAGACAAATCTATATCCAACAAATAAAATGCCTTCTATATATAGCATTCATCACATCATCACAACCGCTGCTCTTGTATATATAGCATTACAAACTATAAATGAAGAGGGTCCTCAGCAACCCTTCTGAAACCAATAAAATATACACACAAACAACTTCAAAGCTCTCTTCAACAGCACCAACAAAACAACATCCATCCTTCAGTAAAACCTATGCGTCTCAGTGATTGGAGCAGATTCAAGAGGATTCATAAATACCGCCCTTAAAACTTATTACCCGTCTCAAAAACAAACGCACCTGCAAAATCAAACCAAACATAAGGTCTCATTTTCACGACCACACATCATAATCACTCAAGAAAAAAAAAAGGATGATTTTTATCACCTAATGTTGGCATCAGCAGCGACACAGCAGCAATACCTGCAACCTTCAAAAGAATTCCAATTTTGATCATGTCCTTAACCTCAATGTGACCAGTGGTGAACCCCACTACATTAGAAGGTGTGCCTGTAGGGAGCAAGAAGGAGAATTGTGCTCCTATAGCTCCAGGGACCATGAGTAATAAAGGATGCAATTTCATTGATTGAGCAAGATCAATTAGAAGGGGGATGACCAGCGTCGTGGTGGCGTTATTCGACGTGAATTCGGTGATGGTAGCGCTCACAAGGCAGACCAGCGGCGCGACGGCGAGGTACGGCGCGGCGTTGAGGAACTTGAGGTTCTCTGAGAGGACATCAGTAAGGCCACTTGTCCTGACTCCATCAGCAATTGCAAAACCTGCACCTAATAGGAGTATGACATCCCAGTGTAACTTCTTGCATTTGTTCCAGTCCATGAGTTTCTCCCCCACGTTTTTCTTGTTTGGAATGATAAAAAGCATTGTGGCCATCATTATCTGATTGAAACCAAGCATAGATTGTTAGTTCTGTGGCTTTGATTTTTTTAAATGTTTGGAGAAGGGAATTTTCTCTTACACTGACAGTTCCATCGCCCACTCTTCCATCGAAGAGGGACCCCCAGCCGGGAACATCATTTGTTAGGCTTCGGGTCATCCATAGGAGCACAAGTACCTGAAATTCTCCAAAAATATGAGAAATTTAGTATAGCTATCAGTGTTCTGAAGTTATAGTCACAATTTTTCAAAAATTTTAATAAATAAAATAAAAATATATATATATAATATATATATATATATATTGCACATCATTTTTTTGGCTGTATTTTTCTTTCGAACTATATCATTGAGAGCAATAATCTTAATCATACATTATCTCATATAGTCCTTTTTTTATTTTTTTGGTGAAATGAGATAAATGTTTTTGTAATTATAAATTTAGTACATTTTGTCATTTTGCATGGATGGGCGACAAATGGTCATTTTTATAAAACAATTTATCCATACGAACATTAGTCATAATCTAAAAGGTTACAAGTTAAAACATAAAACCTGTGATGATTAAGAACATTTTTAAGTGATACTAATTATTAAAAAAAAAGAAAACAAAGTCCCAATCCATGTCTTAATAAACCAAAAAATACTGAATTGTCGAGTGCAGATACCCCGAACACAGCCAGAACCATTTTCTCAGCAAAAGCCATAGGTCCTGCAACACAAACAATCAACTCAGCTAAACTTCGATTAAAACTCCATGAAAACCAAATCTAAAAGCAGAAACTTCACACCAAACCAAAAAATTCGAAACATACCCAAAGATTCAAGCTCTTTCCTCAAATGCTCTCTGTGCAAGTAAGATGAAAGCACCTTAGCAGATCCCTTGGAGCAGTAAAACAAACACAGAATTCCCCACAATGCAAAGAAAATGAGCAGAGCCAAAGGGAAGCCAAAGAGAAACCATGAGCTGAAGCTGATAGGTTTCCCCTCAGGAAAGTAGCTCTCCCACATCCCTACTAATATCAGATTTACACCTGTGCCGATTAGAGTGCTCATGCCGCCAACCGCCACCGCATATATAACCCCCAATATCACCCCCTTGCAAAACTTCTTCACTTCAGGATGAACCTCTTCCCCTGTCGGAAACCGCTGCAGCATTCCCGTTGCCACCGGAATCATCAACATCGCAGCCGGCGTGTTGTGCATCCACATACTCACAAAAGCCGATGTGCCACATATCCCGAACAATAGGAGATGAGGATTCACGGGATCCCCACAGAACAATGAAGTTATCTGCAAAAATAAATGGTTATAAAAACAAATGTCTAACATAAGACAAATACATGGATTGATTTATACATTGAGGGCGAGGCGACGGTGGATGTTGTAGTGCTCAACAGCCAATGCGAGGATGAAGCTGCCGAGCACGAGGGCTATGATATCATCCATGTATGACTTTGCAACCTCGTCGGTTTTGGCTAGACCGAAGAGTGGGAAGAGGAAGAGAGGGGTCATGGAGGTCACCGCCATGGGAACGGCTCCGGTGATCCACCAAAGGAAGACCCAGGTGAGTACAGCCAGCATGTTGCGGCTGGATTGCCGACCGTTGTCGAGTTCGACGAAGAAGAAGATGAGAAAGCATGACAATGGTCCTAAGAGTATGCAGAAATTGCTTTTGTTGAGGATTGATTTGAAGGAGTGGATGGAGTTGGGAGGAGGATTTTGGAGAGGGAGGAGAGGCGCTTTGGGGTCATCTACGGTTGGTTGGCCTGCCATTAGAGAGCTCTCTTGAATGCTGGGCGTGGGCAAAATACCACCTTTGGGGAAATTTGAACCAAAGTTTTGGCTACTTATAAAATAATCGGAAGGTTCCCATACATATCACTCAATCCTTATGTATTTACATATCTAAGTCCTAAATTTTAGCATTTATATGCATGCCAATATAAGGTGTTGTTAAAATGCTGATATTTTTAATATAATATGAAATATTTAAGTGGGTATAAATGTAAAAACTAAAGTTTTGCTGTTAGATATGTAAATATATGAATTGGGTGGTATGCATGTAATAATGGCCTCATAATTCTTTGCTTGCGTGCAGAGTACAGTTGAAGAATTGAAGGCAACCACATCTTTCAGTTTTTATATCATTATCTGGGGGAGGGAGGGCCCGTGCCGAGCAGGCGTTTCTAATGGCTAAGAAGAAGCCAGCGATGTTAATGAGTTGAATTGGAGCTGAAAAGCCAAAATAAAAGCCGTTTTTAGTTTATTAAATACAGGCATGTTCAAGATTTAGTAATTTTAGAATTGGGGAAACAATAAATGAAACTTAAAAATAATCAAACATTAAGATTGAAAAATTGAAGCCAATTTCAGCAATTTTAAATTGATTTTATGAACCGACACCACATGCACGAATAACGATGAATGCGGAGTCACAGAGTCAAGATTATGTTATTTTTATGTAAACTATATGCTAATCATTTTGAATGATTTAGTTTGCAAGATGATAAGCTGCGTCGGGATTGACTCAAGGTTAATTTATGGATAGAGCTCCTTGACTTATCAATTACACTCCAAAGATACGTCTAAAGATAAGTCATTTGGCCAAATCACATCAATCATTCGGATTACGGACCAGACACAATAATTCACAAAAACAATTCTAAAAAATTGACATTAGCAGGCACTCTTCTAAACAATTGTAGAATTCTGCAATTAACACGCAACCTTCCTTCTTTTCTTGTTTGTTCGATTACAAAGAAAATGTTTTTTAAATTGTCTTTTTGTTGAGGTGGAAATATTATATTTCTTTAATTAAGGCTTCAATTAATTAACATCAAAAATCATACTGTGAAGATCAGAACAATAAAAATAATCCAGAAAAATAAATAAGGATTTAATCTGAGAGAACCCGAGAAGGCATATGCTGTTCTGATATATTACAAAAAGAGGATTTTATGATTTGTTAGAAAAAAAAAGAAATTCTTAATTTACATTGGAGATATTAGTCGTAATAAAGCTTCTAAATCCTACAGTTCTTTACTAGAATAAAATAAGAAAGAGGAACAATAATCAACTTAGAACTAAAAATTGTGAGCATTACTTTACTGAATAAGATTGTATAAGGATTTGGTTGTAAACATTTTCATGTGAGATTAGAGATATAAACGAGTAGAGTTGAGCTCATCAGGACAACTCAACTTGGGCTACATTAATTAACCAAGTTCAAACATAAGATTGAGCTTAATTATGAGTTTGGATTCACTCAAGAGTTTACTCATTTATTATTAAAGAGAGAATAATTTTAATTCAAACAATTATTGTAATAAAATGATAAAATGCTTAAGCAACCAAGTGATAAATTATAAAAATATGCTTGATATAATAATTTAAAATGAAAAATCTTAATATATATTTTTTTTAATTTATACTTAGTATCTTGAATTTTAAAGTTTTTTAAGTGAATTTTATATTACCATTTTATGATGAGTCGACTCAAGAGTTGAGTCATGCTAGCTCAAGTTTGACTCACTAGCTCATCAAGATCAGTTCACAAGCTTTTTATTAAGTCGAGTTCAAACCGGCTCAAGATTTAGCTTGGCTCAATTAAACTTCTACTGTCTGTCAACAAAAAAAAAAAAAAAAAACACTTAATATTTATGCTTTTTAAAACTCATTGGCTTCCTCCTCAAAAAATCATTGTGACACAATTAAAAAGTCACCACCTAACTCAAGAGAAAATATTTTGTCTGGACACCGCATGTCCGGATCGTCAACCACCGAGCTCCACATCGTCATACACTCCATCGGTAGGCGATGTGGCGCCCGGTGGTTGGCCGTCCTGACGTGCGGACGTCCAGACGTAATATTTTTTCCTAACTCAGAGGTGTATTGAGTTGAGCCTTGGCTTGGGATTGCAATAATAGTTAACTTGAAAGTGATCCATATTGGTCCTTATATATACGCATGCTGTGGATGATGCTACTCGAGAGTGTAGAGTAAGATTTTAAGCTTAGGAGGTTCAAAAAGAGTATGAAGATTGAAAAATCATCATTCAATGGATTATTATATGAATAAATAAAGGAGAGGGATAGAAGAGGCAAAAATTAAAAAAATAAAAAAATAAAAATAATGAATGAACGAGAGTTGTGCTGTGGTTCGTTCAATTATGTTACAACTTAATTTATACAATTTGGTGAAGAGTTTCATTAAGCATCTTAAACTGACCTAAGTTATTCATTAGGGGAATAATGTGGTGTTTGAGTTGAGGCCTTCCTAAGAGAATCAAGCATCATCCAATTAAGGGCCCGTTTGGGGCAGCTTAAAACTGCGGTGGCGTTTTAAAAACGCTGTAGTGTTTGTTTTGCACGTTCAGCCAGTTTTTTGAAAAATGCGGTTTCGAATTTTGGCATAATCTGACCTGCGGTATTAGCACTGCAGTTAGCGTTTCCTTCGTTGCATTTAACCCCGAATTACTTACGTTGCCCTTCACATAAGCTGTCGCGAATTACCCCGCTCTTTGCCTACGTCGCGATTCCTAGCCGCTCCCCGCTTCCTTCCGTGCTGCTCCCGTCCGCAATAAGCTCGGCTCTCTCGCTGCTTCTTCCGCCCGCAATAAGCTCCTCTCCCTGCACTCTCGTTCCTTCTTCCGTTCGCAATAAGCTCCTATCCCTGCTTCTTCGGCGTTAATCCTAGGAGGCCGGCAGCTCCTCTCTTCGGCATTTATCCCCTTCCAGTTAAATCCCTTCTCTCCTCTTATCAACTTTGTGTATCGCTTCATGGTGCAAATCCTCTCTGTACGTGAAGTTCAATACCTTAAAGTTTTGCTGATAATCTCCTACTTTGAAGAAAATTATAAAAAGGGGCATTTACATACGTACCACACAAATCTGATGTAAATTTCAGGTTATATATATTTAGATTTTGGAAAAATGGATGAACGGGCATGCTGCATATCCCATGCCATCCCTTCTCTTTATTGCTTGGCCACTTTCGTGTGTGATTGTGGGTGCATAATGACATCCATTGCTTAACTACTTTCGTGTGAAAGGGAGGAGTGTTGCTTGTGTTTATTAGCAATTTGCTAAAAACAAATTTTGTTTTGTAATTTGCTCAAATTTCAATTAGTTGATTCTTCTATCTAGCAAAAAAAGAAATTGATTTTTTATGAATTCAAGTAGTTTTAGAGAAGTTCTTGTTCTCATTTGTTTTAATATGCAAGTGAATGGCTGTGGGTGTGATGGTGGTGATAAATGGGTTGTATGATTTTTATGATTTCATTATCTAACATTATATTGTTTGGCAAGAACTAGAAATCAAGAGCATCATTGGTGAAAGTTGATTATATTTTGTTGACTACACCCAATTTTTGTTGGGTAAAGAAAAGGTACAATTTACTTGTGAAAATTTTGCATACGGACCACAACATTCGTTCCTTAATACCTAATTATTATATAAATCATCTAAATTTATTACTTTACATTGTTGGGTTAAGGTTTCATCATTCAAGAGGCCTACTACAAAATTTGATTTCTTAAATGATGTTAGTTAATCAAGCCAAATTTAGACATAACATTTATATTGGTTATATTGGTTTCAGTATTTTTTTTTTGGCAGAATATAAAGATATTAGTTCAAAATAATTTTTTTTTGGCAGAATATAAAGATATTAGTTCAAAATAATTTTTTTTTGGCAGAATATAAAGATATTAGTTCAAAATAATTTTTTTTTGGCAGAATATAAAGATATTAGTTCAAAACACATGTTATTTGGATAATTTTTAATCAAGCTGATTATTAATCAAGCTGATTAAAAAATTGAAGGGAAAAAAGAAATGATCATTTATTCAGAAATAGCAACAAATCGGCTGTTTCACAAACGCAGATACCAAACAACTACACAACTTATCCAAATCAGAGGCAGAGTGATCATTTATCCAGAAACAACTACAAATCAACTGTTTTTTAAAAGCACAAACCAAACAGTCAACCAACTTATCCGGATCAGCTGCTGATCAGCAGCTTATCAACATAAGCGGGATAAACTGCAGCTGCCACAAATAGACCCTAAGTCTCCATAAAAATGATTTTTAAAGGAGCTTATGTGGACAGTCCAAAGCTACATTTTAAGGTACTCGTGAAAATTTAAATTTTTGGGTTGTACGCTTGCCATATATAGAGCTAAGATTAACACTAGATTGATATAATTTTCTTAAAATAAAACCAATCATTAAATTTGTATACACACATATTTATCATTGATTTAATGTGGGACTAAATACAACACTTCCATTTATCTCAATAACAACTCTTTATTAGAAAAGTTCCTAAGAAACTATCATCTATTTAATAAGGGATTAAGCACAATTCTACTTGTCTTAATTTAACAAGTCCAAATTAGAAAGAATCATAGCAGTGGCAGGGTTGTACTAATCTCTTTATAAGTTGAACTTGAGATTGCAGGTTGATACTTGACCAATTGAGTTGACCTCACTTTTTGGTAACTCAACTCAACATTCACATCAAATATTTAAAAAAAACTTGAAATAAAACATGTAAAACTCAAATAAAATATAATTAGCGATCAAATTCTAAAATTCGATCAAAATGTAGCTCGAAGAGGAAACACTCTGAAATTATCATTTTTATGCTTTGAAATTAATGTTGTCTCTACAGTTCATTGTAGTGTTTGAAATTTCATATAATAAGCTTCATTTGGTTTCTTTATCAACCTATGCATAACATGAAATAAGTTGTGGCAACCGTCAGACAACATTTTATGTGAAAAGTGAGCCTTTGTTCCGCATAAAAATTTCTCAACAAAGTGTCATTTTGCAAAATAGACTTTACAAATGCGTCTAGGTCAAAATTTTTCAAATGAGCCAAACTAGACCCAAATCGGACTCCATT